GCCCGGACGCCGCCGCCGGCGCAGGTGCGGGCGGAGTCGCGCGCCCCGTCTCGTTGTCGGGCGACTCCTCGCCGCCGGCGGCGTCGGGTGCGGCGACGTCGGCCTGCGAGTCGCGAGGGCGGCCTGCACCGGCGGCGGTCCGCAACGTCTCGCGGCGCGCCGCCAGCCACGCCGTGAACTCATGGGCGATGTCGCTGTCGTCGGGCGGCTGGTACAAGCTCGGCTGGATGTGGTCCATGAAGGCCTCCATCTCGGCCGCGGTCACGTCGTCGGGCGCGTCGACGGGCTGCAAGGCCGTGGACCGCACGGCGGGGCGGCTGCGCCAGGACTGGCGCGTCGCTGACGACGAGCCGAAGCAAAAAGGGCTGCACGACGGCAAGCCCGGCTGCATTCTCGCGCCGGGACGGCGATCCTGGTCGAGCACGAGACGCCGCCTGCTTTTGCGGTCGTTTCTTTTCTTGATTCCGTTTGTTGCAAACGGAATCAGTTGCAAAACCCTGAATAAAAAAACAAAACGCGAAAATCCCCTTTGCAGCCAAGCCTACCGGGCACCTAATCTTCTTCTATTTGGTGTACCTGTGTTAGTGCCAGTGCGCGCCAGTCCTATGCCTGGGTCCCTAACTTTCTTCTATCTATTCGATCGCACGCTCTCTTGCTCGTAGGACAAGACGTGATTCGATTCGCAGGAACGCCGCTCGAACTGGAATTCGCCGCGGCGGGTCGGCTTCTAAAATTCTTTGTCGTCGTGGAACGTCATGCAGATCTGGGCCCGCGACTCCCTTCCCTCGTTCGAGGAGCTGCAGCCGGAGCCCGCTCTCCTGGCGAGCTCGGAGACCATCCCGACGAGGGCACAGATGAGGATGCAGCGCTGGCCCGGGAAGAGGAGTTACTGCCATACGATTGGCAGGGGATGTGGCGGCCCGCAACACCGCCAGGCGTGGGAAGAGCTGAGCACGGAGCTCGACCACAACGCACGGGCGCTCGCGCTCCACTTTGTGGACGACCAGTGCAAGGACCTGCCGCCAGAACGACGAGCGGCTTCCGCTCGGTTCGTGGAGCTCCTCCTGACTACAGGGTTGGAGCTTTTGTGCAGCGTGGCCTCAAAGCTGCACAGCCTGGAAGTGGAGCAGTGCTGGGCGTGGTGCGCGCGGTGACCGCGTCCCAGCACATGCGCGATCGCTACTCACTGACGCAGCTGTGCAAACA